CGCACCAGGTCAGAAGCTCGCCAAGAGCAAAACCGAGTGGCACAGGCGCCGCGGAAGCCCCCCAGTGGTAGCGCTTCCACCAACGATCGATCTTCTCATGTCCAGTGCTGGAGATGCACGGGCTCACACGACGCTGCAAACTGTTCCTACGCCAGTGTCGTATGCCACTTCTGCGGCAACAAAGGACACCTGCAGAAGGCCTGCCGTAAAAAAGTGGCAAAAGGAAAAAAGAAACAGGGCAAGGCTGCTGAGCGACCACCTGACTCCGAACGGCGGCCCAGAGGCCGTAATCACCAGCTGACAGAAGCAACCGATCCCCCAGATCAGGACGTATACCACTTGACGCCGTCCGTTTGCCACACGGGTCAACCTGTGGAGGAGGTTCCGGTTCTTCAGTCACTGTCGACAGTCAGCTCCGTCACCCCCGCTGTATTCGCAGAGGTTGCGATCAACGGACATGCTTTATCCATGGAGGTGGACTCAGGCTCCGCCTGCACCGTGATCAGCTCAGAGACTTTCCGAGTTCTGGACCTCTCGACCACTAATCTTCAACCCTCTGCACTCCAGCTACAATCCTACACCCACGAGCGGCTCGACATCATGGGTACACTGGAGGTTGACGTCACTTACAAGACCCGAGAGGCACGCCTTCCTCTTCTGGTGGTGAAAGGAACCGGCACCAGTCTGCTCGGTCGAGACTGGTTTCCTGCGTTGGGAATCGGCCTCAGTGGCGTGAAGCAACTCTCTGAAGAACGAACCCTTCGGCAGCAACCAGTCAGCGTTGTGGTAGCCGAATTTCCTGAAGTATTCAAGGAGGGACTGGGAAAAAGCAAAGGACTACCTGTTCGCATCGAGGTCGCCCCTGCGGCTACACCCCGCTTCCTCAAAGCGCGCCAGGTACCTGTTGCTCTACGTCCTCGCGTCGAAGCCGCCATCGACATTCTCGTCGAGCAAGGCGTCTACCAGCCAGTGCGTAATTCACGTTGGTCAACCCCGGTCGTCCCAATTGTGAAGAAAAATGGCAAGATTCGCCTCTGCGGCGACTACAAGTGCACCGTCAATCCTGTGCTCCAATGGGAGACATACCCCTTACCTACCACAGAGCAGCTCTTCGCCAACCTCGCAGGTTGCAAGGTGTTCTCGCGCCTTGACCTAGATCAAGCATACCAGCAGCTGACTGTGGACGACGAGACCGCCGACTTGCTAACGGTCAACACGCATCGCGGACTGTTTCGAGTCACCCGCCTTCCATTCGGTGTCGCCACAGCCGTTGCCATCTTCCAGCGATATATGGAGGAACTGCTAGCTGGACTCCCAATGGTGCACGTCTACCTGGACGACATCATCGTCGGAGGCCGAACGGAAGTAGAGCACCACCGCAACCTCCGAGCGGTTTTGAACAGAATCCAGGAAGATGGAGTGCGCTTGAGCAAAGACAAGTGCGCCTTCGGAGTGCCTGAAGTCGTCTTCTTGGGCTATCGCATCGACAGTCAAGGCATTTACCCGACTGAAGAAAAGGTCAAGGCTCTGAAGGAAGCTCCAGCACCCAAGGACAAGCAGCAGCTTCAGTCCTTCCTCGGGTTGTTGAACTTTTACAACCGTTTCCTACGCGGAGCAGCGCACACGCTCGAACCCCTGCACCGTCTCCTCGGCAAAGACTCGCCATGGAAATGGGGACCGGATGAAGACCAGGCGTTTATCAACGCAAAAAAGCTTCTGGAATCGTCAGCGGTGTTGAGACACTACGACGTCCACAAGCCCCTCGTTCTCGCATGCGACGCATCGCCATACGGGCTCGGTTTTGTGCTGAGTCATGAAAATCAGCCTGGCCTGGAAGCTCCAGTCGCCTACGGATCCAGGACGATGACTCCGACCGAGCGGAACTACTCTCAAACAGACCGAGAGGCGTTGGCCGTGGTGTCAGGCGTCAAGAAGTTTCACCAGTACCTGTATGGGAGACACTTCAAGATCTACACAGATCACAAACCCTTGCTTGGGCTCCTGCACCACAGCAAACCCATCCCAGCGGTTCTATCGCCACGCCTGCTCCGATGGAATCTGCTCCTGGGACAGTACGACTACGAGCTGGTCTACCGTCCAGGTCGACAGATGGGCAATGCCGACTCCTTCAGTCGGTTGCCTCTGCCGACAAAGGACTTCCAGCCTCCACCCCTGGATGACGTTCTCCTGCTCGAGGCTGCTCCAGAGAGGCCAGTCGACGCAGAGCGGATTGCTCGACTGACGAAACAGGATCCGAAGCTGTCCCGCATCCTCCGATGGATCAAGCATGGATGGCCTGACGAGAAGCCATCAGAAGAGTTCCAACCGTACTATGTGCGCCGCGACGAACTCTCCGCATACCGCGACTGCATTCTTTGGGGCAGCCGCGTAGTTGTGCCACCTAGCCTCCGCCCCGAGATCCTAAAGATTCTCCACTCTGCACATCCCGGCATGGTGCGCATGAAGGGGCTCGCCAGAGGCTACGTCTGGTGGCCAGGCCTAGACAAGGGAATCGAAGAGCAGGTCCGCACCTGCGCGACTTGCCAAGTCACAAGGGACTCGCCTCCACAAGCTCCAGTGCATCCCTGGGAATGCAGCTCCAGGCCATGGTCCCGACTGCACCTGGACTTTGCGGGCCCCTTCCAAGGAAAGACCTTCTTTTTGGTCGTGGACTCGTATTCTAAGTGGTTAGAAGTACGAATTACGAAGTCCACGTCAGCAGCGACTGTTGTCCGCGAACTAAGAAGGATGTTCGCCACCCACGGACTGCCCGATGTGGTTGTCTCGGACAACGGCCCTGCCTTTGCGTCAGAGGAGTTCCGCACGTTCCTCGCCCGCAACAACATTCGACAAGCATTGGTGTCTCCCTACCATCCATCTTCGAATGGTCAAGCGGAAAGGTTCGTCCAAGACACCAAGAAAGCGCTGAGACGCTTGAGAGGCGCTGACATCGATGTGTGCCTCACACGCTTCCTGTTTGAGCAGCATATCCTGCCAAGCACATCGACAGGAAGAAGCCCGGCAGAGTTGATGATGTCGCGCCAACTCAGGTCGGCTTTGGACAGCGTCCACCCAGACCATCAGCGCTACGTCGAGCAGCGCCAGGAAAAGCATGCACAGAGCAGCAGAACAATGAGAGAATTCTGCCCCGGCGACAGCGTGTTCGCTCGCAGCTTTGCGTTGGGACGTCCACGCTGGGTTCCCGCCGTCGTCTACTCTCGCAGTGGACCGGTATCATATCAGGTGAAGCTGCAAGACGGCACGTCTTGGAAACGGCACGTTGACCACATTCGCCGACGAACGTCGGACATGCCGGACATTCCTGATACGCGTGATCGCGCTCCGGATTCTGGTGGCGCGGAACTTGATCCACAGGAGACTCGTGACGACGCCGGGTCGGCTGCAAGGCGCAGCATGCCGGGAACGTCTAGGACCGAATCTGAGGAAACACCTGCCGAAGCCAGATTGACCCCGGCCGCTGCTCTTGGGTCACCCTCGCCCGCTGCTGCGCGATCCACAGATTCATCCGAGAGCAACAGCACCTCACCGATCGCACTTCGCCGATCAAGTCGGACAACGCGCCATCCCGCCCATTTGAAAGAATTCGTTTAGGGGGGAGGGGTGTTGTGTATTCGAGTTCTCGCGCCCCGGTCCTCACCGAGGAGTCGCGTATATTGAGGTTCCCCTGCGTTGTACCAGATGGAACCACGCGTCCGGAGAGCACCGAACCGGGCGCGTGTCAGGTTTCGTTTTCGCGTGCCTCGCGCGCCTGCGGACTCTGCGCCCCCGCGAGACCGCGCACGTCCTCGCCGAGCGTTGGAGCGATCTTCCACAATGTAATCAAGGTAATCCCGGCCAGCCACACGGGCTGGATATATACTCTAATAAAGTTGCGTTCTTACGTATCAAGGACTCAACAGAACTTTTCTGCGATTTTTTTGCATTTTTAGGACCCGCGTCCCCCCTTAAGACGTAACTTTTCTCTAGCTCCATCATCATTAAAATTACTACTTTATAAAACACTGGTGCGACCAAAACTTGAATATGCATGCTCGGTCCGGGATCCCGGTACAGAAAGCCTCATATCAGCGCTTGAAGCCATCCAAAACCGGTCAGCACGTTTTATATTATCAAACTACCATTGTACATCAAGCGTCACATCCATGAATGCTAGTCTCTCACTGCCCCCTCTTTCCACTCGTCGCACTATCTCCCGTCTCTGTTTATTCCATAAAATTTACTATGCCAATTCACTCTTGAAAGAACAACTAATCAGTGCTCCCATCTACGTATCCTCTCGCCTCGATCACTGCTGCAAAGTTGGTATACCCACTTCCATTTCAAATTCTTTTTTCAAATCTTTCATCCCAAAAACATCTCGTGATTGGAACGGCCTTCCCTCACCCATTGCGTCCATTGGCGATTTTGTCCTCTTTAAAGAAGCTTTAACAAGTTACTATTCATGATCTGTGCCGGACTAACCATTTTCAGCGTTTTTTGTACTTCCGTTGCCCACCCCCTCTGTAATGCTTCGGCCCTGAGGGTATAATAAATAAATAAATAAATAAATAAATAAATCTTCGCGCTACGCCTATCACGGTGTCCTGTATCGCTCGTTACGTTACAGCATTATGTGCCGCGCGGCACATAATGCTTCTTTTTCCAAGCAAAGCGACAGTGCTGCACCCACAGCAGCAAACGTCACTTTCACTCTTAAACAGGTGTGTAACAGTCTGGATGCAGAAAGGATGCCAGAAAAAAAAATTTACAACGAAAAAGATAAAATTTTTAGAGCCATATTTACGGCGCAAAACGAATTTGTAGTTGACGTTTGTGAGAGCCTGTGGAAAAGTGGGCGTTATAGTCACGTGACTGGCCGCTATTTGTCACGTGGTGCTTGCGCTCTTTCGGGAGCTTCCTATGGGCTCTCAAAGTAACTTATTAATCTTCTTTCTAAGTGCAACAAAAAACAGATTAGGCCGTCATGTGCCATCACTGACCTCTTTTCTTGGTCCATGGGCATCTCCTCGTACATCTCCTCCTCCTGGCCAAGTGTGCTCTGCAAAACGCACATGGTCATGGGTCACCGGCATGTGCGAACGGACCTCGGAAGTGGACACTGACTTCACATACCGAGTGTTCCTCAAAAAAAAAAAGTGCGTTTTGGCTAACTAACTAAATAAACTAACCGTATTAATGCCAGCTTACGCGAGATTTCCCATCCCGTTTCTTCGGCTAAATATTAATGACATAAAAATTCTGAAACATCGCCACCACCCCCGATTTCCGCCGGATATATATTGCGCGATGTCCAGCAGGAATCGCTTCAACCATGCAATGTGCGGTGTCGGTACGTGTGACACAGCGTGTTTGCCGCGGGTTGCCTCGTGTTTATATCACCATGAATCTGCTGCATCCGCAATCTGCAGTAGCCGTTTCTGTAAAGCGCGGTCCAAACCAACCCGCAAAACTGGTGAGAATGGCTCCCGGAGGAATTCGGGGGGGAGAGGAGTGACGTCAATGGTAACGGGATTGTGACATTTTGCGGGTTCAAAGTTAAAAATATTTAACTTTTTACGGCACCGGAGAGCCCCTCCTTGCCCTCCTGACAAACCTTGAGCGGGGTGCGGTGGGGTGTGGGGTGGGGGTTGCGCTAATCGCTTGTCGGGTACCTAACAAAAAGACAAAGGCAGGTTTAACCCTTTCACCACTCAACCCGAGCTGTACTCGTCATGGAAGGTTGTACCAATATTGCCGATGACGAGTCAGAGTCAGACTCGTCCAGCCAAAATAATGGTTCGCTTTCACTGCGAAACACGAGACAGGTTCGTCCACCGGCTTTAGTTTAAATTTTCAACACTGGAGGGCAGGAGATTTCGCGCAAATATAGCATGTTTTAGCCTTTGATACGTATCTACCCTTGCAAAAGTGATCAGAGATGGCAGCGCGCTTGAGTGATGCCGGTGACGACCCTCGGAAACGGGCTCTCTCTTGCGGCAGTTCCAACAATAGCGACGATAAAGACATTGAATTTGTCTCTGAAAGTGAGTTGGACATGACGACGGCCACAGTGACGAAGACCACAGTGACAAAGAAAACGACGCGCTGGGTAGTGTTCGAGTGTGGCAATGTGTAAACGCTGAAAACCCGCCACCCGCACCTCCGAGGTTTCTGTTTTGTGCAGTGCCCGGGATTCTGCGGCAACCCACTGACGAAAAAGACATTCTCGGCTGGTTTGAGGTTTTTTTTATTGGGACCTTGCCAACTTCATTGTGACAGGGAGAAACCGCTATGCAGTTCCGCATTTCCCAGCGCGGGGTTCTTGACGGAAATCGGTGGACCGCGAAGAGATGATGGTGTTCCTTGCGCTATTAGCGCAAGGAACACCACCATCAACGATTCCTTGCATTTTGCAAGGAATCGTTCCTTACGGAACTTTGTTCGCGCTAGCACGGAGAGACGTCTAGGCACTTGATCTTTTGTTATGGTGCGTATTTTCAAATAAATACTGTGCATTGCAGCAAGTGTTATTCTTACTCTTACATGCACTGAGGGAAAGCTTCTATAAAAGTCAACATTTTCTTTTAAAATTTTTGTGTTAATACCTATCAAAAAGTAATGTAATTGTAAAATCAGAACCACATAAGAAAAAATATGTGCAAATAAAAAAAATTGGGAAAGTTTGCATATTTTTTCTAAAGATGACTTGGTGGTTAAAGGGTTAAGAAGCAGTTGCTTTTGTTGTATTCTCTACCTCGAAGTCACTCTAAGATCCCCACAAAGGGTGCCTTTTCTCACTCTCCAGCCCGTGATGCGAGTTTTTGTTCCGGCGTGCTTCTGATCCATACATCCACGCACGCTTTGGGCTAAAATGGCAGGCGGAAGTTATAAAAAAAGAAAACGGGTTCCGCCTCCCTTATTTTACAGGCCCATTTTGCGGCTTGGATTGGACCATCCTTAACGTGCAAAGTCATAACTCTGTTCCGCGTGTCTTTTCTTTGGTGCGCGACTTGGACGCTTGATGCTGGTTTCCATTAGACAAGTTTGTAGCGGTTTCCCGTTTTCATCGTATCGTGAAGCACGAATCACCCGCGTCCGCAGTCTGCAGTATCTGTTCCCGTGACATGAGTTTGTAGTGGGATCCCGCGCTTTTGTCTGCAATCTGTGAATGTGATATTGGTTTCCACGACACCCGAGTTTGTAGTGGGTTCTCGCGTGTTTACCACAATGTGAAGTGCTAATGTGCTGCGTCCACGTTCTTCGATATCCGTTCCCATGACAGGGGAGTTCACACCGATTTCCCGTGTACATATTGCACTGTGGAATGCGAATTTGCCGTGTCCGCGATCTGCGCTATCGGTTCCCGGTTCACATAGTTTGCAATGGCACCCACGCCTGCACCCCCCCTCCCTTCCATCCTCTTGCTTATCACCAATGTTTTATCAAATTTTGCTGTCGCCCACCCCAAATTTTCATAAGGTCATCCCACCCGATATTTTTTAACATTTACTTCTTCATTTTTCGATGGGCACTCATACAAAACTTTAGGGAAAACATTGCAGGAGGCTGAAACTCCGTGAGAATGTGATTGGGATAGAATGCAAAAGTTTGAAAACATGATGTTACCTGAATTATAAAATAACTGAGGAAAAACTAATTTTTTCTACTAGCCGACGTCCACCTAAGCCTAACATCGTCAGAACAAGAACTGACATTGTGGGATTTATATTGGGGAAAAACACTTATCGGCAAGAAAGAGGATACCGTTACCTTTCTCACTGACAAGTTTTCTTTCCCCAAAATATACGTTACAGGCACCCAAATCTACAGCAGCTCGCCATCACCGTTTCACAAATGTTGCTGCGGCGAGAGTATGACGAACTCACATCCTGGTAAAGCTCCTCCGCGGGAGACGTGCTGCCGGTCATCGGGGGATGGGAGGCGGGCGGTGGAGCGATGGGCCTGGCGCTCCTTGCTGGTGGCAGCACGGGCGCCTCGTCCCGGTCTGTGTCGGCGTACAGCTCCTCCTCGGAGCCCCTCCCCAGCTCCTCATCCTCCGTGTACTCGGGGCTGAAGCGCCCACCAGGAACCAATTACCATACTTTTCCAACTACCGTAAAATACCGGGCAAGCGCCCACTCAAACTTTGGAGATACTGTAAAACCCTTAATGTTTGCGAGCCCTCAATTTTCGCGAATTTCACGAATTGAAGAATTCGCAAAATTTAAGGGCGCGCAAAAATTTCGGTCCTCAAGATTTTCAATGCAGGCGTCTGAAATTCGTGAAATTTAGGGGCCGCGATTATGTCATCTGTGACCGATTCGCGAAAAATAGGGGCCGGGAAAATAAAGGGTTTTACAGTAATTGAAAAAAAATGGGGGATGGGCCCTTCTCCGGTCATCAATTTTACATATGAATCTACTGCGTGTATTTTCTCAGATCCTACAAATTTGGGAATAGGCGCTTAGGGTGGTGTGAGCGGATGCATGGTATACACGGTTAAAGGTCTAAATGCTACACGGTGCAGACGAGCTACAAGTGCAGGCTAGTATAGGAGGATTTGCGTTTCCATAACTTTCATCATGACGAGAGGTGGTAGACTTTGCAAATGATAGGTCGCGTTAATGATGATTTTTGTACGATAGCAGCTACTTCGTGCACTAATAAAGCTGGCATTTTTTTCAAGTGTGCCACATATGAGATGTTTTGTTCGGACTATGCACTGGTCTATCTAAGGAAAACCTTTTCGGTCGAAATTTGCCTCTGCAGACACAAGGTGCTGACTACTTGCAACTCCAACGCCCTATTGGTGGCAGGGGGTGGTTCCAAAATGGCGGAATAGACAGGGATAGACTCTCCAGGATTTCCCGTGCCTCTGCTCGCTGACGCTGGTCAGTGCACTAAAAATGATTTTTTGTCTACAAATGCGTAGCGGCCAGGGTAGGAGCATATAACAGGTGACGGAGATGTTGATGTGTGTTAGGAAAACTAGCATGTGGATATCTAAACCTTGCGGGATCCTCAATTTGCGAAGCTTGGTGGAGGGCAAGCGCGCTTTGGACACCGGCCACGTCACTGTTTGCGGCAAAATATTTTTGAGGGTGACGAAGATATTGGGGTGTTTGCGTTTTGCTTGGCCAATAGTGCTCCGATAAGTAAGCCGCACACGGTGACCGTCATGCTCCGGAAGAGCAGCGTTCACAGTATTGATGTCTCCGTGCCACAGGCTCACAACTCACTCCACCGTCACGGTTTTAAGCCGGGGTCACGTTGCCCGTACATTATACAAAAGACATATCTGCAAACACGGATCACAGCAATGTCCGTGGTTCAAATGCTGCGCGCAAAGTCTCTCCTTCAGCTCATTGACATGTGGCATTTGAAGCAGGGATCTCATGGTGACTCGCGTTCGAATTTGTAAGCAGACTGTGCCTTTTGTATGATGTATAAGCAGTGACTCCGGCTTTAGCGTTTTGCAACACGTGATCAAACTGCGCTATGGCTATTGATAGAAAGTTTTAAGATAGCGTGACCGCAGACTACCGTACAGTGCAGTATTGCAACCGGAAGCTTGCGCTGGAGATTTGGAGTATAGTTTTCAGCGCACGCTGAAAACTATACTCCAAATCTCTTTGACGTGCTCACGGTAGCTTTGACATGCTCACGGCAGCCTGCGATAACGCTATGCTAAAACTGTCTATTAACGTCATCGGCGTGTTTAGTGGTTTTATTTATTGCTCTACCAAGAAGAAATATTTTAATATATCAAACATTCATGTATACCGTGTTATTTGCAAGGTTGCGGCCCGCCTTGCCAAAACTACTCGTTCTAAGCTCTCGTCACTAATGGGTGGCAAACACAGATGCGATTAAAAGGCTTCTTGCGATTAAAAGGCTTGTAATTACCTGAAAGCAGGTACGCGTATTTTGTCTTGAACGTGCTTGGAGCAAATGTTCATGTTCCTTGTAATGGCCCTAAAACGCGAAACCATTTCTGATGTCTATTGCTCGGCATACCGTTGCGCGACCAGTTTTTCCCTATGTAGGGCAGAGAATAGACTTTTCGTAAACTGTACATGCTACAGATCTACACTACTAGCGGGAGCATTTGCCGTCACGTCGAGCACAGCTTGAGCTGGCGACCACAAGTCTAGAAATTCGCAGCGTATGCAATATACGAAAAGTCAATAATGAAATTCAGTCGCTTCGTGCAACGCTGTTGCGAGGCGGAACAGAATTCCTCTTCTTTTTGTCAAACCTGCTTCATGCACAGCGACCAGAACCAAGCAGTAATTAATAGCAGCATCAAGGCACCAAGGCCGACAGTCGCTGCCACCGTCTCCGCGCCGCCACCGCTGTCTCTGGTTCTCCGTTCGTCCGGGAGGGGACGAGCGGCGGGCTGGAGTTGCGAACAGTCCAGAAAATACGGCATTCGTGAAAGTGTGGAATGCTTTTTAACGAAATCCCACATCCCAGAAACATATCTGTTCATTTGTGCATTTCCCCGCTAGATAGAGTGGGGAAATGGACGTCCCGTGCCTTGCAGATAGTTGATATACTGCAAGAATGATCGTCCCCAAGACACGTGAAAACTAAAATATGTGAATCATGTAATTTAACACCCGAGACTGTGGTGGAGAAAAGGAAAATCTTTTAGTCGAAAAAACAGACACAGAAGGGAACGCCACAAACTCAGTTAACTCCACCCCTCAACCCCCTTCACCGCAGAGATTGCCTTTGTTGAAAGCATTTTCAAGTACAAGGAACTACACATACACAAGAGACCATGCTGTCAAACCCACAATACAATCATTCTCAGCCACCTTCTATGCAGAAATCTCTTTTGTTGAAAGCATTTTCAAATACAAAGACCATACATAATTACAAAAGACCACATGGTCAAACCCACAAAACAATGCCCTTATCATCGAGGACGACAAAAGAGGGATTTCGGTCCTACATTTGGTTAACATGTCAGAAACACTGCTACTGCTGCGCTTTGTACCCCAATCCCGGAAAAGCTTCGCAAATAATGCCACCGCTTCCCAAATACCTCTCTCTCTCGTTTAACTCAGGAACAGTGGCATTAAGCTTGGCCCGGGTTGGGGTACAAAGAGCAGCAGTCACCGTGTTCCTGAGGTCATCCAGATGTACCGTAGGTCCCAGAACCCTCTCCCATCATCCTTGATGATAAGGGCATTGTACTATGGGTTTGACTGCATGGTCTCTTGTGAATGTGTATGTTCTTTCTATTCGAAAATGCTTAAGGTCTCTGCGTAGAAGGTGGTTGAGAGTGGCTGTGCGGGTATATAGGATGCCTGAGACATAAAAGAGCTTGAGGCGTTCCCTTCTGTGTCTGTTCTGACTACAATTAATTTCTTTCCTGCACCAAAGACTTGAGCGTTAAATGACATGAATAGCTACCATCAGCTTGCCTGCGCACTTAGTCTCTTTAAAATAGGTGCTTTTTTAACCAACTTTGCTACCGTAACTTTCCTGCATTAGCAGCGTTCGAGCCAAGCTGAATCAGAGTTCAGCGATCTTTTGATAGATTGATGCACGTGAACAAGTTGACCTCGTTAGGACTAGAGCCCTGCACGGGGTCGGGCGTACCCAAAAGCCCGGGCTTGGGCCGGGTAGGACGGAATCTTTTCGGGCACTGCCAGGCTCGCGCGATGGTGTAGCACACTTTTTAAGACGTTGAGAAGAAAATGCTAACGCACTGATCGTTTAGATTTGAAAGAAACGAAAATGGAACTGCCATCTCGCTACGATGCCACTAAAATCGCTTTAGAAATGAGGGAACACGTTTCTGACTCACATGGGGGAAGAGGGCTGCCGAGGCACCTCTGTGTCCCCGTACAGGTCTTCCTCCTCGGGGCCTCCGACCGGCGACTGAGGAGGGGTCGCTCTGGGTGGTGGCAGCGACGGAGGCTGCGGTGGCGGCCTCGTCGGAACCGCCCTCGCCGGCACTGCAAAAAAGCACCGCCGACTTCAAGATGCGTGCCCCCTCAAACGGCACGTTCGAAGCTACGTGTTCAAAACAAATGGTTTCTCCGTCTGTTCAATTATTTCGAGTACTTCGCAGTGCCCGTGAGGCAGGCATGTAGCCAGGATTTCGGTTCGGGGGGGGGGGGGGGGGGGGGGGCGGGGGCGGGGGGCAGCCCATGACAAAATGCTGTATGAGGGAGAGGGGGGGGGGAAAGGAGGTCCCAGCAAAATGAAACATTACGGGGGGGGGGGGCCACCCATAACAAAATGCTGTATGAGGGAGAGGGGAGAGAGGAGGTCCCAGCAAAATGAAAGATTGTTGGGGGGGGGGGGCAGGCCCCATGGGCCTCCCCCTTGGCTACATGCCTGCCGTGGGGGCATTCCCGCAAGGTTGGGGCAACCGGGTAAAAGATGGCAGAACATATTGAAGAAAACACGCGCAGCCTACGATGGAACGCAGATCTTGAAAAAAAAGAAGAAAACACTAACGCGTGCTTATGCGCTAAATCAAAAATATAAAAAATAGTATTACACAAAGCGTTAAGGACTGACCTAGACCTTCTGGTATCTGTCGGTTTGCCAAAACACCCTGGTTATTTCCTAATAATTAACCCCCTTATGGCACCGATCGAAACTTTTCAACCAATTATTTAATTCGTTCGTATATTATGGTACCCTCAGTGCCTTTGGGGCATTACACAGGGAGTAGGCAGCTAGCAACAAAAAAGATGCAAACGGGAGTTAGACACAGTCACTAGGCGCTTATGCAAAAATATTTAGTAAGAGCAGACTTAAACATATCTAAAAAGAGTACTGAATGATGAAGGGCAGATGGTTCTACCCTGACAATGTCCTAGGGATTGGTGAGATTTAATCGACAAATAAATTGGTTCATCAGATACATGTTGCGGAGGCTGGTACAACTTTTAAAGTATCGCGAAGTTATGACACAAGCTTGATCATGCCGACAAAGACTGGTAAGCGCAGAATGTGCGATAGGTCTCCCAGGGAAGAAGAGAAGAACGTCTCAACGGCAGCGCCTACCGAAGGTTCCCTTTCATTTCTGGCACATGCCGTGAGATGGCGCTAGGCCGCAAAGTGCACGAGCTTATTCACACGCAGTGCGAATGAGCTCGCTCTTGCGTGGTCCAACGTCCAAACTACTAAGCCTGGATAGCTGTTGGCAAAGCACTTGGCTCACTGTGTCAAGGTGGTGAGTTTAAATTCTGCCGGAGGACTGAAGCCTTTTTATGTGGTTCCCAATGGGTGCAACGCATTTCGGTGTTGGTTTTTTCCTACAATTGCCTGTACGTCTAGCCACCACAGCCGGCTGATAAGACACATTCGGTGTTAAAAGAGCCGTAGAAAGTTACCATAAAAGTTAGGTTACAGCTGCTTCAGCTGAAATTAAATTAAAGTTACAGATGTACAGTTACAATACAACAAATCTACCTAGGTTACAAAAAAACACCTCAAAAGTATAACCTAGCTGCATTCTAATTACTTTCAAAATATTGTCGCGAATGAACGGGCGAGGAAACAGAATAACTGGCGAAACTGAAACGTAAGGGCGAACTTGTGCACAAAAAATAAAAAGGAAACAAAAGATAACAGCAGAGCGTCGCGGGCGTCGAAGTCGGCGAGAGAGCAGAGTCGAACGCTGGGGCGAAAAACTGACTCCGGCTTGCCACGTGGAGCCGCTTTTGTACACGCGTTGGCTTCTGGAGCATTCGACGTAGAAGGTTCGACGCGTAGGACATTCTAAACTCGAATCAGCTAGACTGTTCTCAAATTCACCAGAACATCACAATACAGTGTCAACAAAAATACGTAGCCGCGGCCAGGAATCGAACCCTGGCCCTTCGCGTGGGAGGCAAGCGCGATAACCGTTAGGCTACGGCCGTGCTGCTTACTTGGCGAGCGGCAATATATCCCGCAACATAAAACCATGCTGCAAATGATGACCCATGGTTCAGCATTCAACTTGGAAAAAATATTGGCACAAACCTATCTTTATTTGACACTTTGCTCACAGCAGAGGTTAAGACAGTCAGTGTGAATCTGTATGTTTGTAAATATTATTTTGAGAGGTAATAACAACTGAATTCCTGCTATGAGTTGTTCTAAAAATGCAAAAAAAGTTGGTTCTGAAATTTTATAACACCTTAGGAAGTACTTATTTACTGGAATCATTGTGACTATTAGTAAATAAAATACTTTTATATAGTAACTTTACAGGCCTGGTAACAATTAGATTCCAACGACTATATCATTAAAACAATCCTTTAATAATTTTTTTAAAATTTATTTACAGAAAAGATTTGCAGTGCGAAAGCATATCGCAGATACAGCCCTCAAGAAAACAAAATACACAATATTATGATAGTACTAATGCAATATACGCTAAAGGCTGTAAAAAACAACACACATAAATGCACATAAAGACATGTAAAATTTTAAAATCAGGACCACATTCTAAAAGGAATGGTTCCACAACATTATGGATAAAATAGGCTTCCTCAAATATGGTGATTTCAAATACCCAATTTTGTCGATCCCTGCCAAGTCATTAGGAATTGCGCAGACAAAAACATAGTTAAAAACTTCTCTGTCTTAAAGGGATACTACAACGAAATTTCGGTGCTCATTTTTTTGGTCTATATGTGTTCAAAAGAGCAGTATCACATGGAACATACCAATATCTTGTTTAAAAAGTCTCGAAAAGCAATTTTAAAACAAATTAAACGATTAGCAAAGAGCACCTGGTGGATGTTGCTAACGCCTCGTTTGTAATGCTCGTCTAGGAACCTTGACAGCTAGTGACGGAGGTTGTCTCGTCTTCGGCCACAACGAGAGATGGGGGGAAGGAGGAACTCCCCTCTTCCCGAAAATCCCTTTTGTGTGTCGCAGAAGTCGCTATTGTCCCCCTAGAAGATTATAGAAGATTAACCCGTCACTCAAAATTCGTACAAAAGCAGCCGCTTCGGTGGCTGGAACGACTAGGCCATCCTCTCGACGTCAGCCTCGCCGTAGCTTTGCTTGTCTTGAGACGACCTACGTCACAATTGCGTTGGATGTCACGTGCTCTAAGCTGGGCCTTCTCCGAGCGCTTGCCAGAGTGGGCCGTTTATAACGAAAAATACAGCCCCCAGGATCAAAATACAAACGTGCGATTGTCATTTACGGATACTGTGGATCATCTTCAACCTATTTTTGAACACGACGGGAATATTTCAAATTTCGTTGAAGTATCCCTTTAAAGATAGAAGGTCCCATTAAATTACTGTATATTGCCTTGTATAAGTCGAACTTCTTAAAAATGGGTATCTCAAACATAAGAACAAGCAAATATTTTTTTATTAGTGAGAAAAACATTTTTTTTAGACTTTGTGAGGAGGGGGGGGGAGTGTTGAGGCCTATATTTGGAGTTGACCTACATGCAACAATATACGTCAAATGCTTAATCTCTGTTACTCTTAGATTTCTACTATAATTACCTGATAAAAATCTTGCTGAATGGTTTTGGAGTTTTTCGAACTTGTGTACAAGGCACTTTTGATATTTATCCCACAGAACATTCACATATTTAACTGTAGGCCTTACCAAACAGCAAAAGGCAGTTTTTTTTATTTCTCCAGGAGCCCTAAGTAAGTTTTGAACAATAAATTTTAAGTTCAGCTAGCTTCTTTTAGTTTGGGTGACATGAAGATTAAAAAAGTGTCGACAAAGTAATCCCCAGATATTTAACGTCAGCCTTAATACTTAATTTTTGATCATTAATAAAATAGTATGATGGGGAAGGACTGCGCTTCGTCCCAAAAGTGACCTGCAGACTTTTCAGTGTTCAAATTCAACTCCCAAGTCTTAAACCATTTCAATAAAACACCTAGGTCCGATTGTAAAACCGCAACTAGCACCGTCTAGTTTGCTATACAAAACACAGTGGTCACAGTCATCCGCAAATAGCCTCTAGGGCAAGGTAATGCCTAATGCTATGCCATTCACAAGTACGAGAAATAAAAGAGGTCTAGTGCTCAGTGGCATCACTAGGGGGAGGCGAGGGGGGGGATGGACTGCCCCAAGTGCAGCGCTCAGGGGGGTGCAGCTGGGCAGTAAAAGGAGGAGGGCGGGGGTCGTGGCAAACCATTGCCCCAGGTGCCACTGACACTAGAGATGCCACTGCCAGTACTGACCCTTGAGTCACACTAAATGTAACATCAATAAAATCTCATTTTGAATGCTGCTTTTTCCCCAAAATATCATTTTCAATCCATCCATACTCCTTTTGGCCAAGGTTTAGAGAGCTCAGTTTGTGTAAAAACAATGGATGAGATGCTCTGTCAAAAGCTTTGCACCAATCAATAAAAACTAGTGCACATTTCACCTACATTCTCAGTTTTGTGTCCTTGTATCGGGTGTCCCGTAAAAAGATTTAGTGTTCTTTAGTTGCAAAAAGAAGCTATGCATCCCCGACCGCTCAGTCTTTGCCCAAATGTAGCACTAGTGGTATGAACCAGACATAGAAATTTCAGAGCTAACCACTACCTTATTCAAAAGTTTCGAGCGATTTTCGGAAATTTTTAATGGGAGAACAATGCCCAACTAAGCCCACGAATACATGGGGCCAAATGGCGCAAACTACAGAGAACGGGCCTGAATTTTCCATTGAAAGTTTACGAAAATCACTTATTTGAATAAGATAACGGTTAGCTCCGAAACTTTGGCATCTGGACTGCAGCATAACAGCTAGGCCGAGACGGAGAGTCGGACGACACATAGTTTATTTTTGCGGTGAAAAGAACGTTGAACATCTTCGGGGGGTGGACATACTGTACATCACGAGAAAGGCTTTCGTTGCATTATACATTTTAAAGTCTGAAAAAATATCTCCAACCAAAAATTGAAAGGCAACCCGACGTTTCAAAACCAACACGGTTTCTTCTTCAAGGGTTACTGAAGGCAAGCGGACACAGCAGCAGCTCCCAACCTCTTCGTCTTCAAAAAAGAAAAGAAAAAATAAAGAGAAAAGGAAAAATTGTGCCCCGCAACCTACATCGGCGAGACCAAGAACTTTCCCGAGCGTATCCGCCAACACAAGAACGACGTGCGGACGTTTGACAGTGAGTGCAGCGCCATTGCCGAACATTGCGATACCCTAGACCATCGCATTGACTTCGCGAACGCGCACGTGGTGGACACAGAGCCCAATTTTCGAAGAAGACTTTTCTTGGAATCGTGGCAAATCCAGCACACGCCAGGAAACCTAAGCAGGTTGCTGGGTGCTCTGCCCTCTGTGTACGCGCATGGCCTCTGTGACCTAACGGGAACTTCTCCTTTTTAATTTTTCCTTTTCTCTTTATTCTTTCTTTTCTTTTTTAAAGACGAAGAGGTTGGGAGCTGCTGCTGTGTCTGCGTGCTTTCAGTCACCCCTGAAGAAAAAACCGTGTTGGTTTTGAAATGTCGGGTTGCCTATCAATTTTTGGTTGGATATATTTTTTCAGACTTTAACTCTCACCCAACCAGGCAAATATATGTCGAATATGGTTACTTTCAAGTTTATACATTTTAACTTTTCTTCACAAAAACTGACAATGAATTTGCTCGTCTGCCGAGCCCATTGACTCACCCGGTGGCCTCTCCCGCTGCGCAAGATCGCCAAGCCTCGCGTCTTGAGGGGGCGGAGTCAACCCTGGCGGCAGGCGCATGGCATCCGTACGCGGCGGCTTGGGCGGGGCGGGAAGACCCGTCGGCGGCGGAAGACTGCGCCGACGCCACGTCGACTCCCTTTCGCCGCCGTCGCTCCGTCGTCCGGACCCCGACGACGACCTGACACTCCCGGAGTCCGATGCCTCCGGCAAGTCCAGACTCCCCCTCGACAAGGAGTCGTCGTTGGAAACGGAGCTCTTATCCAAACGAGAGTCGCTGTTTGTTGGGGGGCCCTTGCGGGATGCGTAACCAGCGTCGGAAATGTACTCCCTCCTCGAAAGGTAACCTCCCTTGGGACAATAGTTTTCCTTGGGAGAACTGTCCTTTTTGCAGAGGCGTTCGTCCGCAGTGCCCTGGCCGTCCTTCTTCCTGCACAGGCTCACGACGGGCAAAAGACGTGGCTTGGCGACGTCCGGCGACTTTTTTGGCGTCGCCGGGGGCGGCGGGGAAGGAGCGTGAACGGCGTCAGGCTTTGGACTGCGCCGGTCGGCGCGTTCTCGGGTGGAAGACGGCGAGTTGTCCGTTCCGTCGTTGCGGACTGACGTCGGCTGCTGGACACGGATGCTAACGGTGGGCAGCGCGGGACGCGACGGTTTGGGGGCCAGGGTGGGCCGAGGTATCCGCACTCCGCTCGGCGTTGGCGGCGAGGTCTCCGGACCGGCCGGCTCTTTGGTGAGGCTCGGGTGCAGGTCGCCAGAGCGGAGCATTCGCATGGGCAGGATGTCCTTGTCGTTGAACAGGTTGCGGAGCACCTGCACGTTGGCACGCGGCGACTGGTCCGAGGCCATCGCTGCTCCCGCCCGGTCGCCCTGAAACTGATGGGCAAGACACTCAAAACCCCCTCTTCACAGCGCGACACCAATGTTTGATGTCAAATAAAGACGACGGTTGTAAGTGGGAACCTCCCCGGGCATGGAGGCGGGAAGCTTCTGGTATGGAGGGACACGCCACCAACTATGACCAAAAAACAAACAAAAGCAAAAGACACCATTGAATATTGGCTGGCTCGAGCCGGTATGTCGCCTTCTCCCTTTCCTGCCTCCATGTCCCCGGGGAATTGCTTGTCGTCCATTGCAAAAGCTTCCAGTGTCTCGAGCGTGTGCGCATAAGCAGACCATGTGTTGAAAAGCAAAAAGCACACGTTGGAAGTCAGGCGTTCAAAAGAACTGCCATTCTGACTTTGACGGTGGTTGTGGCCCACACCCGTTGTGCCAGCGCACGCGCATGACCGTTTGAGCGGACAAACTTGCGTGCCGCATGACAAGGCTTCCGTGGCAGATTTGGAAAAGGCAGTTTTCAATTACGGCACACTGAGGAGGTACTTTTGAGACAGAGCATGCATCAGGCAGGACATAAATTAGGGTGAGGAAGAAAAATCAATTAAAAATATTACACCTCTTTCAGTACTGCCTGAGAAGGCACAACCAATTTAAAGCCAATTTGAAAATTAAAAAAAATAGGGCACCAAATGTTATTTTTGAAAATTAAGAACCAACTGAAGAGAAGAAGACTAAATAGTTAAAGCAATAACCTAGCTAAGGGAGCGGGCTTGATCAACATGTATTGTGTTTTTGCTCTTCTTTATTTCTTTTTTTTTTTTAAATAGAGTAATTTTTCTGTTTTTCGTGCTTCTTCTTAAGTTTTTTTTTGTTCTTGTTGTTTTATTTTTTGATCAGGCACGACGGTGGAACTAAAAGCGAAAGTGAAAACGCCGCAAAAATCCTCAGAATTGTGCTTGGGGGGAGGCGCAGAAACGAAGACTACGCCACGATGACTGCAAATTAGTACGCAAGCACCGAGCTGCTGTCGCTGCAACACACGTGAAGCGACGGCGTAAATGCACTGGGACTTTTCGGGCTTGTGGAACTACCAACTGTCATACGAGGTAGCTAAAAAAACAGCCCCCCCTTCTTGCCAATGTTGCTATCAAACATGGCAGTGAACAACAGTGAACAAAGCATGGCTCAGCTATGCTGTGCATGATCTATAAAAAAGCACTTTACCTAGAAGTAGCGCGACAGTTGAGAAAATCTGCATGAGAGTAGCAGTTGACTTGTCCTCAACCCGAACTTCCGAGGGACATTAATTTTGAAAAATTGGCAGCAATCTTTATCTTCAAAGTCCTTTAATGCATAAAAGGCAGTATTTATAAGCAACTGTTCGGAAGACAACTGTTTCCAGAGTGAAGAATTCTTTTCCTTTTGGGGGGGGGGGAACCGACTTGGTGTGTCACATGATTAAGAAGGGCGGAGGGGGAAGGGAGGCAAGTGGGAAGAGGAGACGGGAGAGCACTGTAGGAGGGTGGGTGGAGGGATGGCGAGAGGGGGGAAGGGCGATGGACGAGGAGGGGGAGAGAGCACTCTAGAGAAAGTGAGGGAAAGGATTGGGAGAGTTAAAGAGAAGGAAGGGAGGAAAGAAGGATGGGGAGAGGAAGTTGGCAGGTCACAGGGGGAAGTGAAGAGAGGGAATGTGTGTCACAAGATGCATATTCCCTGCTAAATTTTGTGGAGGAACAGTGCTGATGTACAGGTCATGTGATGCCGATTTCCCCCACCACATTCTGCGGGGAAACTGGGTCTAGGTCACGTGACGTCAATTACTCCACTATATTTAGAGGAGAAACTGAATTGTTGTATTCATTCATTCATTTATTTTACCCTTGAAGGGACACTGACAGGGTGTTTATGCTTGCCAAGGTTTTTATTTGTACATGACATATGAGAGTCAAACTAGCCAGAAAACAACTCTCAGCTCGAAATTCGTTTTCTTTCCGCTCGAAAACCACCGACCGAGAAGTGGCCGGTTTGAGTCGCGTTCACTCTCTTCTCCGTGGTCACATGCCGTTTTCTATGGTTTAGACACAACCACCAAATATAATCAGTTATGAGTCATCGGAGGCACACACACACAATATTAAAGAAAGAAAAAAAATACAATACCCATTTTCTATGGCTTCTAAAAAGCTGCAAATACATCGCTTGGGAGAAAAAAAGCTGCACAGCCACGTGACTTCTGTCAACTCTCTCCTCTATATTTCTTCTTCCTCCCCAGTCCAGTTTCGGTATCGAGCAGTTGCAGTTTTTGACTTTATGAAAAATATATGAGAAGCTGCAGCAAAATATTGATTGGGTAGTCTTCAGACACCATAATGAATTGCTGGGAAAAAAAAATAAGATATAAATTTTGTCCGATTCATTATGGTATCAGAAGACTAGTACTCAATCAATATTTTGCTACAGCGTCACATATATTTTTAACAAAGTCAAAAAACGCAACTGCTCGAAACCGAAACTGGACTGGGGAGGAAGGAGAAATATAGAAGAGAGTGTTGGTGGAATTCACGTGGCTGTGCAGCTTTTTTTTCTCAATTGATGTATTTGCAGCTTTATAGAGGCCACAAAAAATAGGTATCATATTTCTTTTCAATTTTTAATATTTTTTGTGTGCCTTCGATGACCCACAACATAAAAAAAGGGAGAGGGAGGCAATACAGGAAAAACATACATGTGGAGCTTTTATACAAACAAGAAAAACAAAAAACGAAAAACAAAGAGCTGTGGCCAAGCAACGGCTACAGGAAGAAACATGGTATTGATTACACGTTTATGGCAGGTAACGCTACATCTCTGGAAAGATTGGGGTCACTGATGTGTCATGTGATCCGGTAGATTATTCCATTCTGTTGTGACAAGGGGAAGAAAAGAGTTGCTAAAACTGACAGTGGAACTGGGGATGCGACCGATACTAACAGAGTTAAAATGCGGTGTTGATGAACGATGAGGCTCCAGCAGCAGAGGCTGTCTGAGTTGAGGGTGGTGACAAAGGATTTTGTGGAAGAGACAAGGGTGCGATATTCTGCGGCGAGCATTATGAGTAGGAAGACATGAAGAAGTTTTCATGGCCGATACACTGGCAGTATGCCCATAGGTAGACAAGATGAATCGGGCAGCTCTACCCTCAGTTGCTTCTAACGTGTTAGTGATATATATATATATATATATATATATATATATATATATATATATATATATATATATTATATATATATATATATATATATATATATAATATATATATATATATATATTATATATATATATATATATATATATATATACTATATATATATATATATATATATATATATATATATATATATATATATAACCACGGGTTCTGGAAGCTTCTGCAGACACAGAGTTAATGCGGTTAGTCCAAGACACATGAGGAGAAAAATGTACACCAAGGTATTGATACGAGTGAACACACTTAATGTTTTCTGTGCCGAGAGAATATTGAAAAACAGATAGGGAGAAATTGCGAGAAAAACAAACCAACCTGCTGTTTGATAATAATGCAATTAAATGCAAAGGTGCAACTGAGCTGGACAAGAATAACGAAAATAATACCTGGAGAAGGGGAACAAGAGGGGCAAAGGACAAACACCTAGCTGTGTTTGGGGATTTGTGTTTGTGCTTTGTCCCTCTTGTTCCCCTTCTCCAGGGATTATTTTCCTCATTTGTTGTCGAAAAGTCGTTGCACTTTGAGTTGTTCAGTGACATTAGCCATAGATCACACCATTTGTCAATTTTTTCAAAATCATTCCGGAGAAGATGATGATAGTCCACTTCATTTAGTGATATATCACACACTCGTCGGCAAACTGACGTATGTTAGGGGAAATAAAATTTGGAAGGTCGTTAATGAAGATTTTAAAAAAAAGGAAGAACCCGGGGGGCTATGTTCGACAAATGTTTCGTTTCTCCTAAAAAGAAACGGAAGTGATGGAGGTAACGATATTGCGTCTGATTTGCTAGAAGCTCAAATGACTAAAGAGGGAACTTTCGTCATTTGAGCATCAAACCAATCAGACGCAATATTGTCACTTCCGTCACTTCCGTTTCTTTTTAGGAGAAACGAAACATTTGCCGAACATAGCCCCGCAGGACACTGCCCTGAGGGACACCTGATGAGACACTGGTGAGGTTAGATTCCAACGAGTTTCGGACTCTGTATTGGACTCTTGATGAGAGGAAGCTACAAATCCAAGTAGTAACTAAGGAATCAATATTAAGTCAGGACAGCTTTGAGAGGAGTCTGAGACCAGGAACACGATCAAACGCTTTGGAAAGATCTAGGAAGAGAGAAAATTCAAATAGTTGTGTATCGCAGGAATAATTGAAAAAGTAGGAAAGAAAGAAAATCCCAAAAGCTCAAGCCGCGAACAAAATTGAACGAAGAGAAGCAATTCAAAAGGGGGAGAAAGCAAAAAAAAAAAAAAAAAACATGCACGCACAAAAAAAAAAACAAAAAACTTTTCATCCCAAAGCAGTTGCCGGCGAACAGAAGCAGTTCAAAAGGAAAGATAAGCTAAAAAAAATATACATGCCTGCAAAAGAAAAAAAAAATTCCAGCGCATCATTACAAGGCGGAAGCGAAGAGATGAGTAAGAAAGAAAAACTCTTGCCTTCCAACGAACGCATCATGGAAGTTCGTTGAAAATGGTTTTTGCTATATCGAACTACTTGCTATATCGAATTGATCATAGCATTTCCTGCTGTTCGTTATAAACAGGTTTGACTGTAGACCTCTCAAACAGTGAAAGTAGTGTTTCTTTAATTTGTGACTGGCCGCCAAGATTGACTCTTCATCTTTAAAGCTTACCAACTATAGTTGGTGACAGGCTAAGGGTTCAGGGGAAGCTCCTCCCACCTCTTTCCACTTTAGCAGAGCAGAGGCAGGAGAGGAGGTCACCTCCTCTCCTGCGTCCACACTGCTGAAGTGGAAAGAGGGAGGACTTTTCTCTGGACTCTTA